AAACCCCAAAACCCCAAAACCCCAAAACCCCAAAACCCCAAAACCCCATGAAGTAGTATTATAGAAATAATATGAATTAGTAAAATAAAATGAGTGATAACTTTTCATAAGTCGTTTCATTGAAAAATGAGTTGCACATTCACAGACCCAATACACTTAGTCAACTTAATCCAATGAAGTTTTAAAGCTACACAGATTTTTATCACAATAATCGAAATGTAATAATGAATATTTTAATCATCTTTACAGCATAATAATAGAACATAGTCTCAACAAGTTAATCAATAGATTCATAGTTAAAAGGAAAGTAATCAAAATTAGCTACAGTAAAATCAGAACTAATATCAAATCAGAAAATCCAGTCATAATATTATGATGACAGCATAAAACATAATGGATAAAAATGCTTCCCAGAGTAATTCTAATTATATTTATGAACTATAATAAGGAAACCAGAAAAAGGATATTGACTTACAAGAAAATAAATCAGCTTAGCATCATAGAACTGGGCTTAGCTTTGATGGCAGATAATTACTATTTTCAAACGGTTTGAATTAAAATGTATTTTTTAAACATAATCACAACTTATAGGGTGGAGATTCAGCACATTAGAAAAAGCTTAGAGATTAATACAAGGAATTTGATATAATCACTAATCAAACCAGGCCACAGATCACTTCCTTTTACAACTCTACTCACAAAAACATAGAGAAAGATACAATGTTAAACATGCTTGCTACTTAATCAGTTATCAACGAAGCAATGAATGGTTAAAACAATAAATAAAAATCTCATTAGTAGCAAAATTAAACTACCAAAAGTTTAATGCCTTACAGAGAATTGAATGCGAGTGTAGATATTCCTCCTAGATCAAATTAAATTCAGGGTATATAATCTACCACAAATAATTACGATAAGGAATAATAAAAATAGCTTTAATAGATATTTAGGACATACAACAATACTAATACTAATAGTTTTGTAGAGATTTAGCATAAGGGTAATGAACAAAACTTATAACCTCCAATAACAAGAGATAATCAAATAGTGTTCTTTAATCACGGTGATAGAATCAGGCATCCAAGTGAAAGGAAAACACCTCCTCCTCCTAAATGGGGAGAGGATGAAAATGAAGGATATAATCCTCATGAACCATTTTATGATCCAAGAAAAGATCCTTATGCGTATAGTCAAAGCAATAGAAGGTTGATAACAAAAAGAGAATTTAAATAACATACTAAGGTAATGAGTGAATAGATAGATAGGCCAAAGAAAGCATTAAATAATGCATCACTAGATGAGGAGCTCAAGAACCGGGAAATATTTCATGACCACCAAAAGAATACAAGCATATTTACAGAAAACATGAAGAAAAATATTTAGTAAAACAAAGAATTTCTTATGAATGGTCAATTCAGGCTAAATCTACCACCTGTATTAAATTCAAGTACATCAAAGCCTCCAAAATTGTAGCAGAAATTAATCCTTCTTAATAAAGAAACAAACTCATAATAATAACCATAGCAAAAACCCCCTATCAATATTAAAAGCTCTGGCATTATTCCACTTCTAAATAATAATGGCCACAGGATCATAAGAAGTAGTGCTTTTTAAAAGATGAATAATTGAGGTCCATATTAATAAATTAAAATGCTAAAAATATATTGAGATCGAATACTGATATAGGAATCTCTTAATATTTATAACTTTATATTGTCTCAATAAATATTTCAATAAATTTTGAAAAAATTAATTTTGAGGGTTTTGGGGTTTTGGGGTTTTGGGG